GGGGGGTTACTGAATGAAAATGCCTTAGAAGAAGTGATGTTTAATGTCTTTTGACCAGTAAAAAATAACGCAAACTGTTTTAAAACAGAAATGAAACTTTTCAAACCCATCCGTCCTGGCAATGTATGCAACGGCTGCATGACTGAACCATAGAGATATCGAACAAATAACACAGACATGGAAGACAAGCACTTATGTTTTCCTTTTTAAAAACAAGTTCACATAAAAGCTTTTTCAAACAGCTTCACAAAATTCATTCACAATTTTCTAAACCATCCTTACTTTTATTGTCACTTCTTAACCCATAATCTCCATTCAATACACTAGTGTTTTAGAGAAAAACTGCAGCAAAATATGAGCAATTAATGCTCTATTTGACCCTATCTTTTGGAGACAGTGCACATGGAATTTACTGAATATTTTCTATATACGACTCTGACGGCTTAGTAGCCTACAGTGTATCCCATTTCAGTTCTCAACATTGGAAGCAAGACAACACAAAGTTCATGTAGCATTCAGTAACATCCAAAGTGAATTCCTAAACACATACGGTCTTCTCGTGACAACAAAGTCTTCTCGCCTTGAGTAACATCATATAGTGTCAAAACAGAAAACATCATGGAAGAACATCGAAGTTCCACGAAGAAATGTGAATGAGTGTCCATGCTAGTCTCCAAACAATAACAATACATCAAATCCCCCACCTCCCTTTTCCCAATAACAAAATAAATCTACAAGAACACACAAGCACTATCACTCAAAGACTATTTATCAAAACAAACACAACAAAAAGAATTTTTAAAAACAAACAACAACAGCACATTACTAACATCCAAAAACAAATATAAAAACAACAAGAAACAGATCAAACAGGAAATCTCCGATGTTCACTCCTCAGCCAACAGGAGGTGTCGCAACCTAACACCCAGTGCACATTACTTGACAGATTTAATCAAACTGAGTCAGAGCCAGCCAGGTTTTCCTCCATGGAGGGGAAGCCCTACCGTTTTGGCACAATACAACCAATTCAACTTGAGATCTTGAAAAACAAACGCCGTTGGTTTTGAAGCTCACGGTTGAATTAAGTCAAACTCTGCCAAAATGACAGCTTCTGCCCCCCATCCACGAAGGAAAAATCAGGCTGGCCCCGACTGAATCAAATGAATTTGATTGTTAGTGTGCACTCAGTATAAAAGTTTGAAACACGTTTGAAATGTGCCCGCAACTCGAAACATCAGGTAACCAGGCAGACCATCCGCAGAAAAGGCAATACATGTAGCTTGCCGGGGGGGGGAAGGCAGGGCACCGCGCAAGTGCACAGAGAGAACAAATTACCATGCTGGGACAAAGAGGAGAAACGGCGCATCTCAATGGCAGTACTGCGCTGACTGTTGCTGGGCATACCTTTGTCAGGAAATCAAATTCTCGTCAAGACCCGTGCCCCCACCACAACAACAAGGATGATGTTAAAACTTATAGAAGAGCCTCTCCTTTTATCTCTCCCTGCTTCTTTCCATTCTGTGGGAAGCCATCAATCTGTCCACTATAATTAATGGATCCATCTCTTTCTTCTGAACTATCTGTCTGTTAAGTACTTCACACATACACACACACATATCCCCCCCCCCCCCCCCCCCAATATACACACACATACACAAATATCCACACACCACAAAGAGCTTACACTGGAACATACAACACAAGCTGAGACAACATAAACAAACAGGGTCCATAATCCAGCACATATATCCAAACAAGTGATAATTGACTACACTAGTAACGTCGTGGAGGGTGTGTCTATTCAAGACATCCTTTGCCATTTGATCCAAAATGCAGTAAAAATACAACATAACAAACAAAAAACAACCCTAACTATAATAGTACAATCATTATGCTGCATTATACAAAAAGAACTACTGCACATACAAATTGAACCACACGCTATTGAAAGATATGAAAAAGGTCTAACTTTTTTTACACCGATGACAGTTGTTTTGGAGTGAAGTCAATAAAGATAAAACTACAAACCCCTCCTCTTTATTTCCTCACTAATTCAAACTTTAAAACTGTTTCTAACTTCTACGTTCTCCCATTTTTTAAAATGTGAACATTCAAGCAGAAGGAAATCCTCATTTAAAAAATAGAAATCAATATACACCCCCACACCCAAAGTCTTAAGGTGAGAGAAACTGCAATAGCACAGTATTAGCCAGGGTACTTGCTTCCCATAGCTTATTATCAAATAGCTTGTACAAATATACATATATATATATATTACACAGCTGTTTTTCATCAATGCTGGTTACATTTCCTTCTGAAAAAGCTTGATACAATCTAATTGTTCACATACAAAGATATAACATTCCAGGCAAAGGTACATTTACGCAAGCACTGAGTCTGTGGGTCTGGGTTTTACTTTTTCTAAGGCACGAAACCAACAGGCTGCATTCTCGTTTGGTCTTCATTTTGCACCAGTACAGTAAAAAAATAAATGGGTCATCGAGTATTGGAAACAGTCAAAGCAGTTATGAAATCACAGCAAGCGTAAAAGAATCTTTACTGAAAGACACCAGGGTATATACAGAAAAGAAACAGGAAAGTAAAGTAAAACATGGGAGAAAAGTTAACAAAAATAAAAAGGGAAAGACGAAAAAAAACATATTAGATTATTTGAGAAAGTAACAACAACCATGTTCTTGAGGTTGAGACAAGGAAAAAGTAATTTGATTCAAAAGAGAATCATAAAAGACTTGAATGAAAATTGCACAACAGGAGGCTGCAGAGACATTCACAAAGACAGGAAGAAAGACACGCGAAAATCAAGACAACTACAACATACAAGTAGAAAGTTGTGCAAATCATAAACAGAGGAAGTTACAGAAGGACAAATGAGACATGTCATCTTTGAGATACTTTTAACCATCAGCTTAGCAAAAGACAGGATCCACAAAAGAAAAAGTTTTTAAAAAACACAGTCTGGCAGTATATTCTTCATAAACTAAATTCTAAAACACACAATCTGGAGGTACTTTCTCCTAACCAATCAGGCGGCACTTTTTTCTATTAAAAAAAATCTTTAAAACACAAATCTGGCGGTACTTTCTTCTAGAAAAATTTTTTGAACACACAATCAGGCCGTATTATCTTCTAGAAAATATTTTCAAAACATACAACCTGACGGTATCTTCTTCCCCTTTTCTTAGTAATTGAAAAACAAATTGAGAGAGAGACAACCAACTATTGGGATCAAAGTTAAACGTGTTTGGAGACTTACGTGCTACAGAGGTAGTCTGTTGTACTTGGGCTTGAGGAGGAAGAAGAAAGGTAGAAAAAAAAACATACGGAAATGCAGAATGAAAATGAGACCTGGTGGCAACTGTGAGCAGGTGTAAACAAAATAAGGACATGAAAGGCAAAATGTTGGCACAAAAAATGAGCGTGTCAGTGGCATGGGGAGGTGAGCTGAACGTTTGTCAGATGAGCAGGGATGTAGCAGTGCTAGTAGTCTGGTATATATGCAGGATGACATGAGGCCTGAGCACACTCAGACAGAGACAGCGGAGGAGGCAGCTACCAGAACTACGTAGATGTAGACGGCTGACGTACTGTTGAGACACACAAAGACCCAAAGACTTGGGTCTTCGAACTAAAGACCACAGGGTGCCCCACTCTCATGAACCATTTTCCACTTTACACATTACAGAAAAATGGCAACTAACTGTCCGATCAACCGGTCATAGATGCATCTGCCCTTTTATCTTAAGATATTTATAAATGTACAATATTTGTAAAGCTTTTTAAAAACATTGGTTCTAGGCCACTTTTATCGCACTGCATTTTATTTTTATATTTAAAGGAAAAAAACTTACAGATATTTAGACCTTGCAAAACCAGCAGACACAAATGGTAATAAGTTCTCTTTGGTTGTTTTTTTCCCCTATATTATAATGACACCGTCTCAGACCTCCAACTGTCTTAGCAAACTATTCTTATCTTCGACAACGGGTGGCAGACTTGGACAATTTTGACTGTTTATGGAGGAATAAAAAATATACTAGGTCTGCTGTTTCTCTTCTCAACGAAAGCAACATCCAGGCCAAACACTTCATCGTGTCTGAATAAAAAGGACAGTTTTTTCGAAACCATGAACATATTCCAGGTTAAAAAAATACACTCTGTAACAAATCCTTAGTAGAGGAGTTGGGACTTGTTTGATATTCATAGAGAGCGGGGCACTGGGTAGACACTAAAGCAAAAGGCAGAGGAGAAAGGCAGAGAGTGAAACTGCACAGAAGAGCTTGTAAGTACTGGGCTAACGGTGGCACCTAGAGGAACATACATAAGTTGACGACAAAAAACCTGGGCAATGATGATGAGATGACAACAAAAACAGATGCTTACAGGACATCACAACAATTATCCACCGGCAATGATGACCAGCACACAGAAGAACGCAGCTGTGCTCTCGTAAGAAAGAGAAAAGCACACTGACGGCATGGAGACACGAAGCACAGCAACGACACATCACGCGTCCCAGAAGTGACAGTATTACCAAAACACAGTGCTGGAAAAACTTTCAATTCATGATAGTTTTAGTTTTACTAGACGTTTTACGGTGCTCGCAACTGCATAAGGTCATATGAGCGCCACAAGATTAGAGGTGTTACAAGAGAGTAACAAACATAAAAAAAAGAAGGGGAGATAAGGACGATCGATGTTTGATAGTAAAGAAGAGGCAAACCACACCAGAGCACCCGCCAACCACCCACCAATTCATGATAAGCTCGCATGTCAATTCATGAACGCATGTCAATTCATGAACTCAGAGAAATGAGCAACATTTTGATAAGAAGTAGTTGTAATTGTACACAGAGTCAATGATGATTTGAGGGGGGGCACTGTTGTAGGTCAAACTGACAGTTAAAAAAAAAATTATTCCACAGTTTTTACTAAAACTGTAACCAAGCGCTTTAAATGCACACAAAAAAAAAAGAAAAGAGAAATGATGAACGAGTAGAAGAATCAATAAATCTACAAAAGAAAAAAAGTTCTGAAATTGAAAGGAAAATGTGACTCGGAGCTACAAGGTGCCGTATTTGTTTTGCAGCAAGAAGGCAAGAAAAAGTCATCTTATGTATGATCCTGGGCTCCATGTGGTAAACACTTATTCAGTGATCCAAACCACTCTTAGAGCTGACAAAATTTTGTGAGAAGAAAATGACGTGAACAGAAAACAAAACTTCCTCAAGCTTGTTGGACATCATATGTGCTGGAGAAAACAAGACTTGTGCTTGTAAAAGTAAAAGCACCGTAAAGAGCTAGTTGAGAGACAATTGATTAAAAAGCTCTAGGAAACCTCTTTCTAGTGTTAGTATGAGTTGTACGGCATTTGCAAAACAAACAAGCCATATTAGTGTCGAAGATCAGAGGTGTTACTGGAGAGTAACATACAACAAAGAAAAGAAGGAGGAGAGATATGGACGATAGATGTTTGATAGGAAAGAAGGAGCAAACCACACTAGCCCACCCATCAACCACCCACTCATACTGAAGACGGAAGAAAAGACACATCTAGTTACGAGACAATCAATAAAAGTGCCAGGAACCCTGTGATGCCTGGCATACAGGCTGGACTACATTAGACCTGCCAAGCCCCTGAATCTGTTGAGCTGCATCTGAGCTAGGAAACAAATCGCTACCTTAGAATTACAAAGTTCTACCTGACATCTTCGGCCGTTTTGAGTTATTAAGATCATGAAGTCAGAAAGCAAACGTTCTATCTGCTCTTTCAAAATCGTAATATTATTCAGAGTCATCACCCAGATACCCAAAGAACTGCAATCGAAAAAGCTTAACATGTTGGGAAACTCAAAACATTTCAAACCAAATTTCTCAAAACTAGGTACTGAGCGAATAGAACTTTGTAATTCTAGGGTAGCGAAATATACACAGAATACCCAATACCAAGAACGTTCTTTCCACATGGTCATTTCTATTCTCTTGTTAGTCAGTGAGAGTACTGACAAAGACCATGGATTCTATGATGAGTCACTTTTGATTTTTTAAAAATTGTTTGACAGTGTGAAACAGGGCTGTCATGCATCAAAAAATGGATGCAGAAGAGCAATGTGGTCTTTTCACAATTACACTTAAAACATTAACTTTTCCGACACCCTAACAAATAAAAGGCTCTTGATCCAGACGTAATACTGACTTTAGGAGGGGTAAAAAGGTCAGATTCTGGTCACCAAATTTTGTCAAAATCAAAGCATAATTTTGAGACTTTTTGACATGAGCTTTTCTTTTTTGGGGGTCACAAAAAACCTTCAGCATCACTGGGACTCACTTCCCGGCAAACTTACTATCACCATCTTCACTGAAAAAGATTTTTGTCGTTGTTGTTTTTGGAGAAAAGATAAAAAAAATAGTGCATACCTATATCCACCTAATGACTTGAGCAAAAGGTGAAAATGGTCCCAATAATTGAATACAGGGTGATCCAAAAAAAAACTTTACAACTTTTTTTCTGAATATCTCGCACAAAAATTGTTCTAGAAAGCTGTAATCTGGAATAGACATAATTCATTCAAAAGGAATTTGTTTGATATAAAATCCACGAAGAAGAAACACGCTTTGAAAACGGAAACGGCTAAAAGAAAAAAGCACCCAAAAACGCAAAGTTCACCAATCTTTAAAAATCTTGTAAAGGAGGTCGTGAAAAGATTAGTTAACCTTTTTCTTTATTTTCTCTTTGACATTAATTTTCCATCCCTGTGACATTTAAACAATATTTAAATTCTTTTGCAGAGTTTAAAAAACCTAATTATTTAATTCTGAAATTCCTAGAAGCAGTGCTCCACATTCCCTCCTTTGGACTCGACACATTTTTGACGCGTCTTTCGAAATGTTCAGTGGCGCCCTAACACAAGGACCTGCTAAGTCATGAGTTTTTAAAGCCACATACACTGTACATGTTCACTAAGAAGTGGCTTTTAAAGACAATAGAGTAAGGTGCCGAATAGACAGCATTTTTGGAGTTAACATGTCCGCAGGGTGAAAGTGGGCTTTGCACTAAACCAGATGTCATCGAGGAAATGATCCCTCTTTACAAGACAATCGAGGAATCGTGAACTCATTGCCATGCTCTGATCCATGTCATCTCGGCCTAACGAAGATGAACATGGTAATGGTATAGTCTTAGGTTAAGATCTGCCTTGAGAATACAGACTGTTGAGGTATAGGAAAGTCCTAGCTGCAGATCATCCACGGACAGACGTCTCATGGGACTCGGCTACTGAAATTTGCACTCTGGAGACGTTTAAAGGGCTGCCCATGGTGCGTGTTCAACCTGAAGTGGTCATGTTTTAAAGAACTTTTTAGTTCTGATTCGCTATAGATCCAAACTGACGGAACTTTTCTACTCATGACGCCAAAGGTCTTGAGGGCACTTAAGCATTCTCTCCATGCCGTGCGCAGAACTTACGGAATGTCAGGGATGGTGAGTTTGTGGAGAGGTAATGTTCAATACAAAAAGCTCTCTGGTCTTTACTAAACGTTACCATGATCTAAGCAGGCGAACAAAATTTGGGGAAAATAATATCTGGAGACTTCTGTTGACTTGTTAGACTGCTGTAGCTTGCAATATGGCGCAATTGTTGCAACTTTTAGTGGTAGGCCTAATGCGAACTGGTGCGTCATGCTATGAAAATGGTGACAAGGTTGAAAATGAGTTGTTTTTTTCAAGCGCTATATAGAGCAAAACCATTCAATGGACTTATCTAAAATACATATCAGACAAATTCCTTTTGGCTTCCTAACGTTATGTTCAAATCTGAAACGCAAAGGAAGATTTTTTTTAAACAAGTTGTAATGGTTTTTTTGGATCACCCTGTATTTCGTACAGGAAACAAAAACGCATTATACTGAGGATGTTGCAGACTTATTTACCATACTGATAGCTTTTATTTAAAAAGAGGGGAAAAAACTTGAGCAATTGTGTTATTATTATGACCGTGAGGATACTGGCGCGGCACGACACAGCACACACATTACAGGACACCGTCATACACGCATGACTGTCACAGCAACAGCACAACAGGGACAGGCAGCCGGCCCTTAGACAGACGGGGGAGAGTAGTGAGTGAGAGAAGAGGCACAATGGACTGGGACTGGGAGATGGGAGACGAGGCCGAGAGTTGGAGAACACTGCCACAGAACAGCCACACATCCCGTAACACTTACAGGTTCCGGAGCGCCGGCTCACGATGCGATCCCCCAGGCTGATCAAATTGCGGCTGAGCAGACGAGCGCGTTCGGAAATTGGTCTGTTGTCGTGGAAGATAGAAAGAGAAAGTAAGGTATGCATTTCTATATATTTAACACTCATGTAGATCTATGAATAAATTCAAATGTGTACAAGCTTCAGCAAAGCAATTGGGAAAAAGTATGAAGAAAAACAAAACATTACAATGAGACATGATATAAAATTGCTGGAAATTAAGTACAAGGAAACAGTATTTCTACATAAGCAAACAAGTGGTACTGGGTTCACCATCTGGGAAGATACAGCAAACAATCAGCATAATAATCATAATTTACTGAAGATGGAAAAGAGGTGGAGGGAGGGGAGGGAGGTGACTAAAAAGAGGCAATAGAAAGACTGAAATGACAAGTAAGAGAAGAATACAACATAAAAATAAACAGGACAGAGGAACCCATTAATATAAAAATAACCTCTTTATTTCAAAAACACACTTGAGAACTAAACTTCATTTGAGATTTTAACCCCCCCCCCCCCCAAAAAAAAAAACAACAACTAAAGAAGAAAACTTGTTTAGATAACGGGGGGGGGGGGGGGGGGCGCACAGAGGGAAGAACAAAGACTAAAGGAAATCAATCTAACAAAATTACTCCAATTTTGATTTGCTTGAATTTTAACTAGACAGTACACATGTATAGATACAGTCACCACACAGATTTATCAGCTGCATGAACAAATATTTTATGCCCTCATAGACACAATTTAGGTCATTGTGGAGTCAGGCTGCTTTGACTCTTGTTTGTCAGGGCCAGCCTGAGCTGACTGGGATACATTGTCCCAGCAGAAACACATAGATACTCCATAAAGAATTCTTCCCCACATGTACATCAAACGGAGGTCTTTTGCATGCACCAGCAAAAAGAGTTACCATTACACCAAGGAAACTTTATTTTTTTAAAAGTGGGTGTTAAGAAGTGGGGTTCAACCCTGCCTGTCAGGGCCAACACAAGCTGAGAAGGGATGCAAAGTCCCAGCAGATAGACCAAGAAACTCAATAAAAATTCTCCCCTTATGGAAATTAAATTCTGATCTTCTGTGTGCGACAGCGATGGGCCTAACCGCTACATCAGACGCCATACTGCACAGAGACAACAGAGGTAGGAAGTATGCAAGAACCAACAGTTGTAATTCAAATCACCTGTTCCTATCCAAGCTAAAAATCTATAAAGAAAACAAAGACAATAAAGGGAGTAAAGAAAACAAATAAACTGGAAAAAAAAAATCAAGTAGAAAAAAATGGAATAAGGAGTAGGAAAATGAAATTTAAAAAACCAAACCGCTAAGAAACAAATTTGTTTCAATACTGCAAACCAGGTTTGGGGGGAAATTTTTTTTTTGGTGTGTTTTGCCCATTTCATATTTTTTTGTGAACTTTTCGAATTTGCAGTTTGAGTTGTTCAGTATCATTTGTATCAATGCAGTAGCGCCCTTATTAACATTTTGAAAAGGACTTTAATTCCAGAATTTCTTTAAGAATTGCAAATTCAAGTTACAAGTGCACAAAACCTGATATAGAGTAAGCAAAGCAAAATGAAATACCTCGTGTTTCTTTCAGAGGGATTGAGTAAGTTGTAAAAGATATACGGTGCCTTCATTTGAAAAATAATGTCAACCTGATACACAGCCCATACATTGTGGAAGGGGGACAAACTACCCAGACTTTCAGATTATCCACGGAAAAGTTCTTTTCAAAAAGATAAAATTTTCTTCAATCGTCACATTGAAGATGCACACCTGGTCTTTCACCAAAGCTCGAAGACTTTCCGTTTTGGGGCACTTTGAAAAAACTTCATTAATCATGCAGATATTTCAATTCTGTCGCTTTATCTGAAACTTAAAAACGGCAGGTAACAACATACGTAACTATGGAATCTGCAAATTTGTGTTTCTGATGTGTGTGCGATGGTAACAACTGAGGCACAGCATTGCCTTTGGTCAGCTGCTGATCATATGGATGTATCTGCTTACGTCCAAAAGAGTTCAAGAGACAACAGTCTCTGGCTCAGTTTCACTGTTGATATTTACCTTGTTACCATCACAGACCCATCAACCACCCCGTGACCAAAAATACGAGTTTTCCCTCAAAATCCTCCAAAATTATAGGAAAATGGGGGGACAAAATGTACTCCAGTACATTAAGATTGCAAAACAAACTGACTGTGGCAAATAAAAGTGTACTGCAAATGCATGCAAATAAAATTGTAATTTCACGTCACTTGCAGTAAGTCACACAAATATTGCACATAAAGATAAACAAAAAAGTGTTTTTTTTCCCCATCATTTACGATAAGTCACATACGACCTGATGGAAATGGAATTCAAGAAGAAAAAAAGCCTGTTTATTAAAAGGAAAATCCAATTGGGCTTCTTTGAGAGGCAAAAGAAAACCGGAGAGCTCCAATTTTATCTGAGAAACCTGCCATCACAGAGTAAGATTTACAAACAAATAACACAGAAGTCTTGTCCCTTTAAAACAATCTTGAGCAGACTTTACACTATAATTTTATAAATTCTAAATAATTATAACCATGACCCGACCCTGGGCACTTCGGAATTCTCGAAACGTCTAAACTTTTCCCCAGTACCTGTACTTGCTTTAACAGTGATACCAAGTGAACTATGTATTACTTTGTTTCCATTCCATACAGGATAAAGAAAATATGTCTTTCTTAATCTTCCAAAACGAAGAGCTTCTTGTGGCTCTCCATCTTCCCTGAAACTTATGGCTACCTTTTTGCTAATAAAAGCAGACAATAAATGGTATATCCTCCCAAAGAGGTAAAATAAGTAAGTGTGTAAAATGGAACGAAAAAAAACACCCTAGGGTCTAAACAAAAAAGAAAAAAACCAAAAACAGTAATGAAGCCAAAAAAACAAAAAACTCAAGAAAAGAAAGTAATGCAATCCCACTTCATCTTTCAATATCAGCTACAATGGTGGCCATTATGCGTGGAAAAGCTACATACCTTCAAAACAAAAATCAGTAATAAATTTGTGACTTGCAGAGAGAGATTTACAATTTTTGAGAGTACTGGTGACTCATCCGCCGGTTTGATCTTACGAGAATGTAGTAGAATTATTTCCCTCAAATCGTAGGAACCACTAATGTCAACTCTCCTCAATAAAGTTGGGCAACAAAGACAAAAAGACAGAGGCAGAAATGCTAATTTTGTGATGCGTTCTGCAAGAACTGGGACTGTGTTGGCAACCGGGGGCAAACTTAAGCCTTAACTACAAACCACAAAAAGAGACTGAGTATTCCCAAGTTGAGTTTCAGTTATTTAAACCAGGAGTTCCCACCATTATAAGTATATTTTCCTATAGTCACTTACTGACATAAGTTCTTAACATTTTTCATATTTATTTGTTTTTAACAACACCCTTCATTTTTTTTCACCTGCCAAAGTTTTGACATTCCATTACTTTTAATTTAACTAATTTTTCCTGTTTTCAAGCTTTACAAAGTGAATATTTATTCCAAATGTGAACGTTTTTGAGCTTTTTTGAAGGTATTGCTCTAAAACTGTATTTTAGAGGTAAAAGTATGCGCCAAGACGGAGTACTTTTAAGACACAGATGTCTATAGATATGCATGTTGAAACTTTGAATATTCCCCCCCCTCCCCCGTTCCTGCTTTTTTTCCAAATTTTTGACTTTTTGGCATAACTCCCATTCTATAGCAGACATTTTTAAAATCAAAAGAGCAGAATACTCCAGAATTTCCAGACACAATCCCAATTCTTGCAGGTTGCCTCACAATTATCAGCAATCAAACTACTTTATACAGCCACTTAATCAAACAATTTCTATCATTCCTTTCTGTACCATCTTTGAGAAATTTTACGATGATGAAATTATCACCAAAACTTTATAAACATTTCTGAAAGTGATCGAACAAATGAAAACACTGCAACAAAGTAACAACATAAAGAATGTACTCTAGCCATTTTGGCGGGTCCTCAGATCTGGAAAATGTATAACATTTTATATAATTCTTTTTATTCCAAGATAATCAAAATGAGGTAAATCAGATTTTTTTTACTTTGACCAAACCTCTTTCAAAGTTTCAAAATATACTGCAAAGTGAACACTGTATAAGAACACTGTATAAACAATATTGACCATACCAGAATAGCATACACTGGAGGTTGTAAAAACTATGTTAGAAAATAAATAAATTAAAAAGAAATAACGAAAAGAGTAATGTCTATGAAAATATTTTTTAAAAGAAAGAGAACAATAAACAAACTACAACATATATAATAGGTGTAGGATTATTTTTTTTCTTCTTTTCCAATAAGAGTTTGTCTGTTCATATTATCGGACATTATGGAAAGTCCTTTGAGTGCATCAAAATATAAAAAAGCAGCTAAAGCATTTTTCATTTTGCATGGCGTCCATTGTGCTACGTGGTTGCTCCCAGCTTGGTTAAGCTGTGACCTAGTTTTACTTACTGGTCTTGAGGCAGCCTTCCATATGGAACAAAGTAAGCACATTGAAGCAAGAATCTCTTTTTCTCTCAAGCACATTCAGGTACATCTATCCAATTTAAGTTTTCTTCTAAAATGTCATAAGATAGTCGTTATCACTTTCCTATTGCATTAAAATATGATCTCTCTCTCTCTCTCTCTGTGTCTGTCTGTCTTTAGTAAGGGGTTGTCTTTTTTTTAGTTTTAGTAATTTTACTGCACTTGCAACACAAACAGGTCATGAAAATGCAAAAAAATTAGAGGTGTTTCTAGAGAGTAACATACTACGAAAAGGAGAAAAGATATGGACGATAAGGAAAGAAAGAGCAAACCACATCAGAGTGCCCGCCAACCACCATCTCTGGCTGTTTGAGCTTCTCTGCATCACTCTCATTCACAGACCCACTTCCATCAACATGATTCCTCTATAGAACATAGTCACATGCTCTTAAAGAATATAATCACACACTCTCTTCACTTGAACTGGCTCTTACCACCTATCTTGTATGACATCCCCTCCATTCCATCAACACAACCACATGCCCATGTTCAAAGAGTATATTTTGTTATAAAGTCGCCCGCACATTTGAACAGATAAATACGCATTTAGTATAAGTATTAATTCATGACATGAAACAGCATAGAGAAATAAAAAAACTCATTTGAAACTCATAAAAGATGATAGTAAAGAACTAGAGCAGTGCTTGCCATCTTGGGACGGTATTGCCCTCTTGTGGGTCATTTGGGTGGTGGGGGTCACACGGGTAATGACAGGTATTATTCAATGCCCCATTTGGAAATACATATAGGCGGACAATGCATAAATTTTGCCTCTTAAAGGTGGTAAAAGTGGGCGCTGGCTATAAATAGGTTGACAGGCACTGGACTAGACAAACCAGCATAATTAAAGAGAATGCAGAAACACAAAAATAATGGGACATTTGGTTACGTTGAAGATAAAAAAGCTGAAAGTCGACAACATATTTATGCACACATGTTGTTTATATATACAAGGGGAGGCAAGGAAGCATAATAAAGAAGGGAAAACCTTCACAACAGGAACAAAGAAAATCATGTTATCAGACACAAGACATTTTCTTCTTTTCGTGGTTCTATTCAAAACTACAAATTTGTATGAAACATGACGAACATGGGAAAGTTAATTGTTTATAACAGAAACCTACTTTCATAGGCATTATTACAAAAATTGGAGTAAGATAACATAACTCTAAACTTTAAGTGGAAGAAGATTTTTACCCAATTTTAACATTTTCATTAAACTGTGCCCAAGGACACAGCAAGAGTAAACTATTAAGTCACTCATAGAAAATAATTTTCAAATACTTCACTTTGCAATCATAAAATATGTTTTACTTTTTTCATTTGAAATGATGAGAATCACACTAAACACATAACAATTTTTTAAAGTGCTGATCATATAAAAATAATAGAAGGATAAGCTGATGACTCAATACAAGTTCTACAGAAGACACCTACTCAATCCACTGCCACTGCCACTGCACACAAGCTGAAGTAAGTTTTAAGACCTTAGTCCATGAAGTATTCCTAATGGCTTCCATTGTTCAAATTTAATGGAGAGGTGGTTTTTCTGAGCTCATGATTACACAAAGAAAAGTCGACCTCAAAACTTAAAAAATATTAACTGTTTAGCAGATAGCAGGTCACACATATATACAAACAAACAAACAGAGTGACTGTGAAGGCATAATTCCTAAATGATATTATTTGAAGGAGAATAGCTGACCTTAAACGTTTCTTGAACGCAGACTCTATCTTTATTTCTCGATGAGCAAGCTCCATTTCTTGCACTGACTGGCGGTGTGTCTTGAAGAATTCTCTCCGCAAGCTAGGGAAGACACAAAATGCCTTTTAAATTGGAATTCAAAAACAAGAAATAAACCAGCATTCAGAGTTGAAGAAGGAACAAGACAAATACTTAAGGTGAAAGGTCCCCCTGATCTTTCTTTATTCACGATATCAACAGAGGGTAAAACTTTCAGAACAGCCTGCCCTTAATACAACAGGTGAGTCAATATCTGGGGGTTTCCAGATAAAGCCTTCATTCGACTTAAAACATCAAGGATCAACTTACAGTACGGCTTCGTTCTGTGTTGTTATTTCCCTCTTACTTTTTAAGATGAAAAATAATGAGTGCCCAATATCTCAAAACTTCAAAAAATGATTTAGGTGCTTGTGGAATGACATTGAAGATATTATTTCATCTCGTATCTTATTAAGCAGAAAAGACTGGAGTAGATGTATAACATTTTCCTAGGAAAATAACCGGGACATTTCTCTTCCACATTCTCTTGCTTTGTTTTCATTAAAACAATCAAAATTGTCCAACATGGCCACCCATCATCGAGGAGAGAAGTGGTTGTCTTACACAGGTCAAAATCTTGGACAGTGTCTTATACTACAGAAAAAAAACACACAAAGGGAAGTGGGAAATAGTCAGTTTGGTCAGTTGTACAGGTGATTGTCTTGGACAGGTGTGCTACTACAGCAGGTTCGACTGTGGTATTTATCTGAACAAAGAAACGTTCTGAATCACTTGTCTACAATATCTCTACATATTTCTATAATCAGTTATACCAACCTTGGAGATTTGATGAGCAGTAATTTCAAGGGAACAAACTGGCACATTTTCATAATAACCTGCGAGACAAAAAAACTGGCTTGAAATAGAGGGGGGAAAAATGCCCCCCCCCCCCCCCCCCCCCCAAATTAAGGTTATACAGACAGCCCTCCAGCGTCAGGCCTGTATGGGAATTCAGCACAGCCACTTTTAATTTAATTTCTATGTCGGAGATAAGGGAAGACTTACATTTTCCAGACAAAGTCTCTGAGCAAGGCAGTGAATGGAATGATGATGAGGCCCAGCCAGAAGAGGGAGCAGCCCAGCACATACTGGTCCTGAGAGAGACATTATTACAGGGTTGTCATGATGAACAATAGCAATAAAATAATGATGATGATAATAATAATAATAATAATAATAGTAATAATAATAGTTCATCTGTCAATGTCTTACGACCAAATATATTTCTGCAAAGGAGAATAATAATAATAATAATAATAATAATAGTTCATCTGTCAATGTCTTACGACCAAATATGTATCTGCAGATGAGAACAAATCAAGGCATACCAATTTTCATTCTTACACCTATTTATCATAGCTGGATGTTTGGCATCTTTTCACGGCAACAAGTTTGTTTATCTTTGGAATAGGGTTTTGTGTTGTGGAGATTCTCAAGATGGACTTCCTAAAATTCTCTCGCGGACTGGATAAAATTTCCCATCGGACTAGATGCGGCCAGAAGGCCTTGAGTTTGACACCTGTAGATTTAACAGTCCAAGGGAACTGCATCTGTATCTTCTTTCATTGTCTTAGTCTTTGTGATTACTAGTATAAAAAAAAGGACTTACCATTCCCACCATCTCAGCTGCGAGGCCGACAATAGAGAACACGTGACTGTAGACCACCAGGAACACAAACCAACATACAATGCTCCCCCATATAGCCAGGTGGGTCAGCTGTGAAGGGAATAAATGCAAGGTCAATAAAGTAGGGGGGGTATGACAGAAGGTGGAAGTGTGGGGGAGGGAAATGTGAGTGTATCTGAGGGAGTCAGGGAGTCGGAAAATAACAACCAGGGAGTAAGAGTGAGAGCAATAGTGTGAATTAGTGTAAAGAGACACAATAACAGTCATTTAGTATAGGGAAAAGTAACACAGACAGACAGAGAATTAAGGGAAAGGAGATACCAAATACAGGGGGAGGAGGAGGAGGTAAGAGAGGGAGGGAGAGAGAGGGAGGGAGAGAGAGAGAGAGAGAGAGAGAGAGAGAGAGAGAGAGAGAGAGAGAGAGAGAGACAGACAGACAGACAGACAGACAGACAGACAGAAACAACACAGGCACTCAAAAGTTAGACAGAAATATGACACTATAGCATGTGTCCCTCAACAGCCCACAGGTCGTAGTTTGTCCATACCTGATTTAGATAATGTATCGAAAACCTACACATTTGAACAGACAGCTTCCAGCAACCAATGAAATGGCAAAATAAGAGACAGTGAAAACAGACACATCATTGACGTACATTGTTCTGATGCCAACAAACTGTATTATAACCAGAAACAGACTCTTTTGGCTTAAAAAAGCTTACATATAAACCACTCTATAGTTACATTATTTCAATAATAAGAACATAGTCTATAAAAGATGGTGGCGATGATGAAGACAACAACAACAGAGTCGATGACAGTAATAGCAGTAATAATGATAGGAACTGCCGAAAATGACTTTAGTCAGGCAATGAAGATAAGGTTTTTAAAGTTTTAGTAAGAGTATTACGGCACTTGCAACACAGATAAGTCATAAAAGTGTCGAAGATTACAGGTTTTACAAGAGAGTAACATATAAATCAAAGAAGTAAGAAAGATAAGAAAGATAGAAGTTTGATAGGGTGAAAGAAAGAGAAGAACACATCAAGACATCCGCCAAGAATATACAACGATGATGATGATAATAATGTTTAAGGAAAAAAAGGGTGATGAGAGAGATACCCATGTCCAGGCCACTGTCTCCAGTCCTGCCTTGAGGCACACAGTCACAACCACATACTGAAAATACATACAGAGAAATTTGTACATTAGCAGAACCTCTAAAACTTCACAACGGAGCAGTACCCAACCAAGCATAGGCAATAAAGCAAATCCTTTATTTTATAAAAGATAGAGAGAGAGAGAGAAAGAGGGAGAGGGAAGGAGAAAGAGGGAGAGGGAAGGAGAAAAAGAGAGAGGGAGAGAAAAAGAGAGGGAAGGAGGGAGAGATAGAGAGAGAGAGAGAGA